ATGTTGGATCATTGTATAGGTTTTATTTTTGTCTGCAGCTATTTGTCCCCCCTTCCTAGAGGATTTTATATATCCATTCCTGTAGCCATGTGACCTCTTGCAGTGTCTACCCCATCCCCCAGGGGTACTTCCTTGCTCCTGATGCAGATAGACGTGAGCAGACATAACTTGCGCCATGTCCACATAGAAGCTTGAAGAGCCATTTTGTAGTAGGGTTTTGTTCTTTTCCCTCTGCCATGAGAACGTATTTCCCAAACACGAGCTGTTTCTCAGCCTGGGTGCCAGAATGGTAAGACACATGGAGCAGAGCTGAACAGCTGGCTCACAGCCATTGATTGTAACTTGAATGAGAACTAAATGTTGTAGTAAACACTGAGATTTGGGGTTGTTTGTTATTATAGCAAACCTGACTAATACATCATTAAACAGAAACCAGCTGCTGTTCTTAAAATAGACAAATTTGGAGTTTTGTGTTGCGTACTTCATTGTTTCTGAAGGGAAATTGGCTGTGGAATATTTACAAAGAACCATGCAGCTTTCCTTTCAGGTACAGGTCCCTGCCTGTGGCTGTGGCCAGGAAGATGAAGTCTATCCTCTCTCCTAAGCCTGGTTTTGGTCACACTTAGGCCACTTGCTCTCACTGTAGCCCAGCTAGAGACTCCCAGTCATCTATTTGTAAGAACGCAGCGACCTCTGTAAGGGGCATAACATTTAGTCAGCAATAACACCAGCAGGTCTTACAGGGTCTCTGTAGCAGCTGTCACTAGCTACCCACCTCTTATGGGGCAAGGCATGTTCCAGTGTGCCTTCTCACTTAGCTCTGATTGGAGATGATCACCTGGCACTCTTCCTGGACACTGAGACTGAGATGAGGTACTGGATGCGAGCAAGGTGTACATGAAAAGTGTGCACAACTGAGAAGGGCTGTTCTGTGACTTTTACCCTCAGCACCAGCCCTTTTGTAAAGCTCCCAGCAGCCAGGTCCTTGGCCAGCTTCTGCTCTATCTTCTCTTCAGTCCCTGCCCCTCCCTCCAGCTTGGGTGGGGCAGAGGGGAATGGGGAGAAAAGAGACTTAGAATGGCAGAATGTTAGACCAGAGGGAGGATCCTGGTGGCTGCTGACTTGCTGTGACTGGGTGAGGGACTGCTGCTTGTCCATAGCTCTTCTGTGCAGGTACTGTATGCAAAGTACCCATCCCAGTGCCTGGCATATAATTATTCAATAACTAACTCTTAACTCAAGCACTCTATATCCAGTGGCACATCTCTGCAGACTGGTGATTCTCAACCAGGGGTAATTTTATGCCCCCCCCCCCCCCCCCCCCCCCCCGGGACATCACAACTTGGTGGGGTGCTACTGGCATCTAGTGGGTAGAGGCCAGGGATGCCTCTAATCCTACAGTACACAGGACATGTCCCCACAAGAAAGAATTATGTGACACAAATTGTCAATAATGCTGAGGTTGAGAATTGCTTCACTAAACCAAAAAGATAAAACCTTTTTTTTAGGCACCAGCCTGTGTAAGTTGAAATACTTTTACAATAATCCCTAAAAGTCCTTTCTCAGCCTCTTGCAGGTCTGAGGAGAGGGGTTCATAGAGGACCATATGGCAGTTGGTCCCTGGAAATTAGGCCCTTAAGACACCAGCACACAGAGATGAGGAAAGGAAAGAGCTCTACCCCGCTGAGCCGTGGTCCCGTATTCAAGTGGTATTGGCCACCTGGGAAGTTGGAATCCTGAACCTACCCTGACCCACTNTCAATCTAAGTAAAGTCATCAGAGAAAGCTAATCCATCGAAGTAAACTCATCAGACCAAGCACATTGATCTACATGAACTCATTAGACCAAGCACATCGATCTAAGTAAACTCATCAGACCGAGCTCATCGATCTAAATGAACTCATTAGACCAAGC